TTATTAAGCGGGTGTCCTTAGAGCGGGGTCCCACTGTAGTTTGATTTTCGATATTTTTCTTCGAAAATTGTACAAATGCATGAGTAACCCGGGGGGGGGGGTACTACCACCCCAACTTGGGTAGGGGTGTGCCGCCAGGACCTCAAAACCCTGACCCTATCCCAGACCTAAGATTTTGATTTTACATACCCTTTCCCAGACTAAAACTAAGAATTGTACACCCTATCCCAGACTAAAAGACGAAAAATACGGTTTTACAATCGATTGCAATCAATATTTACTAACATTTTTATTGTTTTTGTGTCGGCAGAAAGCGCAGCCTATTCGCCAGACAAAAACGACCAAATCGTTAACCCTATCCCAGACTAAGATGATACCCTACCCCAGACAAAATGTCAAAAAATGATACCCTACCCCAGACCCAAAAGCCGAAAAACCATACCCTATAGGGCGGTACATACCCGTATAGCAAATATAGGGCAGTACCCCCCCCCCCCCGGGGAAAAGGTCTGCACAATCAATTTAAATCATCCTTACAGTCCTCCTAATCTCTTTACTCAAGCTACTCAATGGGTGTCTTTGACGCACGCATCGATAACAGTATCCAGTACAAAAACCAGCTATGACCTATACTAATGATGAGGGAAAATCTGCAACGAAAAAGTGATTCAAGCTTCGTTTTCTGGACAGATAAGGCATGTTGTCCATCCCTATTTACCTACTGCATTATCTGCATCGATAAATACGTTAAGAATTATCCAAGGCTACTGACCGTATCTGTGAGAATAAGAACACGTGATCTGGGCTTGTAGCCATTTCTGTCATATTTGCGAACTCCAACGCAGTACTGTAAAAAAAGCGTCAAAAAACGTTCAATATTATAATCGCAGGTGAACCTGTGAAAGTTCTGTTGTACAGGATCGAAGATAGTATCTGGTGTCTTACCTTAGCCATTTCAGTGGGTCCCGCGATTTGTTGATCAAACACTAAGGATTTTTGCATGTCCTGGGACACGTCTGCAAAACATAACGAATGGTAGAGAGAATGAATATATTCAACGTTGATTGCCTTTTATTTCCGTAAACTGCTTTGCTCGGGGTCGATCCACCCTACCCTTCCCTCTCATCCCCCAAACAAACACCACCACTTTGTGACTCTCGCTATTCATAGCCATTCCGTGGTCAGTGAGTAAAAGGCTGGGTCGATTTGGCATTACAGTGCATTGTGGAATTGTTTTAGGGGGAATATTTCCAAGATGGCGTCTAAGACTTTACAGTCCCAAAACGCACTGCCAATTTAACTCGACCTCTGAATGGCTTCCAACTATGTGCGACTGACATTTGTGTAGACTGACGTCATCCAAGGAAGAAAAGCTAAAATTTAAGTATGTGTAATATGGCTTACCAAGTCTGTTGGTGACAAATGGGATGGCAACACTCGCAGGGTAGTTTGCTTTCTTGTTTAGGAACAACTCACTGGCCAAAAGTTTCATGTCAAGCTAGAAATCACAGCAAAAGAAAAGTAATTCGAATCAATCCAAAAACGTTGTTAAAGAGCGTTCAAGCCCGACTCTAACTTAACCAGAGTTAAAGCCGGCCGGACTGCACGCAGGTTACTCACTTCAGGCTTCTTAAGATTCCTTGCTGCAGATGAAGATTCCTATTCACTGATTTATGTCGAACACACTTATAATAAATATCTCATCCCTAAATAAACCAGCCCGTCCTAGTTTTCCAAAGTTTTTTTATTTTTTATCTATTTCTTCATTCCAGCTATTTGAATATAAGGCCCAAAAGAGAGCGTGTGACATGGATTTTCATCCAGTTCTCAACCATTCAACTACCTGTGCCTTACGTTCTGGAGTCATCTTCTTCATGTAAGAACTCAGTTGATGGCGGGAGTGGTATTGGTGAAGAAGATCGGATGCCTGGAAGAGATTCAACAAGACTAAAGTAAGGCATTGCTATCACATGTGGAACTTTTCATGCATAAAATAATATATATTCGATTTTGGAGAACATTAAAAACAAAGCTGAAGACTTAAATCAAAGAGGATCCAAGAAAGTAAAAAGAATTGCTTTCATAGATGTCGTCTGTTATTGCCGAGCCTTTTCCAGGTGAAGGCAAAAAACCGTGGGAAAATGCTCAATATTTTTAATTTGTGACGTATTTCCGGGTCCAACCGCTCACAAAAACCGCTAAAATAATGAAGCTAAAATATTAGTCAACATTACCGCATCCTTGTTCGAAAAAACGTAAAAGTACTCTTTACCTCTTTAAGTGAAGGAGGAGGCGTTGGCCATGACTTATCAAGGATTGTCTTTGGAAGATTCCTCGACAGGTTGAGAAGAAACGCCATGCGAACGTACGCTAAGAACTGAAACAAAAGTAATGGTTGGTCTCACTATTTCTTGTGTAACTCAATTATTTCAAGTTTTCAACATTAGTTTGCCACTTACTCCGACGTTGTCTTCGTTTGCTTCTTCGTTTCTGGTGATGAAACCTCTGACGAACCTACGAGGAATTTTCGCTTTTAATTTTCATTTTAATTTTCGCACGAAGTACCTAACAGGTTTCACAATTCACGAGGACCCAGAAAAACATCGTAGATTTTAGAAGCTGAGGGAAGGGAAACCCGGAGAGCCAAAGAAAAAACCCTCCGAAGCAAATATATTGGCAGGTCCGAGGAACCAATACCATATCGCCAATGCCACAACTGTTAGATTTGAACGCATCCATCGTATTTTTTTTAAATGCAGTAGCACGGAATTGTCTTTATTTACTCTTGAAAATATAATTAATATGTATACATTTTTTTCAGACTAGATTCTATTAACAATCAGACGTGAAAGTTATATATATATACGTTATAAAGTTATACATATATATATACGTTTGAGTCTGAGGGCTAAGTTAACTGTAAGTTTTCTAGTTAACCTCCAGCCTTTTTATGTTGCTATCAAAAGCAGGTATAAGAAAAGATTTTAAAAAAGGTAAAGTGTATAAGTAAATGAAATGATCTTTTAAAAATGAAAAAAAATACATACTTCCTTATCAGATGAGCAGCATTTTTTCTTCGAGCTAACAGTCTTTGTGCTTTCAATCTCTTCCAGTGTGCAGCCAGGGTGGTGACTGCCAAACGAACTTGAAGGAATTTCTTCCTGGCGCTGTACCCCCTATACTTTTTCTGGATAATGACCGCTGAAGATGATTTAAAAAGATACCAATGTAAATACTCTGTAATTTTGGTTTTGTAATTAATGGTTTAAAGCATTTGTGAAAAATAAGCCGATAATCGATTTATTTTCCAGTAAAATGTTTGCTTCCTACAATAACTTTCCAGATTTCAGTACGTTGGTCGCACGTTTTTAACGCAAAAAGGGTGAACTTCAACGGCTAAACGAAGTCTCAATTTACTTCTAGTATGTTCTTTGATTATGCAAAATAAAACAAAAAATCTGACGATGGGATCTTTTGCCCGTGAATTTCCTTAACTTAATGATTAACACATGAAAATTAATAATTACAAAATTGAAAAGCATTTTTTTTTGCAGCTTTAGCGCTAATCAGGAAGATGACGTCCCCCCTCCCCCTCCCTCCTGCATTTTTGCAGTTCTTCCCCCCCCCCNCCCCCCCCCCCCTCTCAAAATAGACGGTAGAATTTTCCCTGCAGGATTCCAACACGACTTCTTCTTCAGCCGGACGTTTAAAACACATTTTTAAAAAGGTTCCACAAGATTTTCCATAATGTCTCTAAAAATGCAGCAGGATTTTCATGATATTTCTTCACTCTGCACCCGCAGAATGTCCCATGATCCTGGATGGAAGGAATCGAATCAGTGTGTGTGTGTGTATTTGGAGGGGGAGATAAAATGTGTATTGCACAACGAGTTAATAAAGGGTGACTCCTAGAAAAGATGTAATCAATGCTCAAATAGCACTGAATAGCGTTAAAATATGCTAATTCTATCGCTTTATAATGTTTGATTTATAGCTTTTAGTGTTTGTTCTCTAAAGAGTGGCACCTCAGAGAGATATATTCATAGATTACTAACTCACCAATCTTATCCTTCTTTGTATGATACATGTCTTCAATGTTGAACAGTGTTTTAGGATTTCTGATGAATATCTTGCTCCTGTAGAAATACCAGATAGCATGCAATACAGGTTCAGTAAAGAGACGATCTTGCCTGGTAATTTTGAAATGTGAAGCACGGGTGGCGTAGCGGTGATAGCGCCAATGCGACCCAGGTTCGAGTCCCACCGGGCTCGGTGTTGTTAGTAGAGTTGCTTGTTAATTCTCTCCCGTACTTCAAGGTATTTTTCCGGGTTTCCTGGCTTTCTTCCGTCCGCAAAAATCAACTTCTAAATTCCAATTGGAATCCAGTGGAAGAAGAGCAAATCTGTGGAATCCACTGTTGATTCTCATCATTATTATTTATTAAAAGAAATCGAGGAATGATGCGCTAGACCCAGTACAGGAGATGGAAACTGCTAGTAATTCCTGCCCTGAGAATAAGAAGTCTCACAGACCAAACGAATGAGTGGAGTGCGCATCCCACCAACTAAAAACACTGTGATCATTCAGGGATTCCATGTCTGGGCGTTTTTCTTTGTTTGTTTGTTTTTTTCGAGGGTAGCATTTAATAGCCAGTGCATGGCTAACAAACATGTGGCCTGTGCGGTTCCATGATCGAATTGGAATTTAGGAGTCGATTTTTGTGGAGAGAGGAACGCCGTGGGAGAACCCGGAGAAATAACCCTCGACGAGAGGCGAGCGATTTCACCACTACGCCACCCATGCTTCCTGTTATTGGGTTTATACTACTCGTAGATTACTGGTAGTAAAGGCGCTACTTACAATCCCAGCTTATATTCCTCTGGTTTGAAGCCAACATGAACACAGATCTCGTTAACTCCTTCCTTCGGATTACCTGGAACAACAAAAGATAAATGAGGTTTTTGTTGCGCGCACGCTTCCTAAGCCCCGTTTACACTAGTAATTTGGTCGCACAACTTCAGATCGCAGTCGAGTCGACGCAACTTCGAACATGATAAGAATATGATATGCCAAGAATTTTAAAAACATTTCCTATCAAAAAAAAAAAAAGCACAAAAAATTTTAAAATATTTTTTTTTCCGCGCGCGTTGGCCCCGTGCGCGAGCGATTCGTAACTTGTTGACTATATAAATTGTTGGTATGTCTTCTTATTTATCATGGCTCTTGACCAATCAGAAAGCGAGAAAATTTGCATTAATGGTACAAAATAAAGCAAGTGAATCCAGAGAGTCGAGAGTCAAGTAAGAATAAGAAATAGTTCCAAACATAGAGGTAGGCGCAATGTGCAAGGGGGAAGTGGGGGGTGGGGGGGGGGGGGGTCTCCATACCATGCCACGTCGGCCAAGTCGCAGGACACAAGCACTTGTACCTATTAATCAAAAATATTCACAATCAATAAAAACACCGATTATGTGGGGTTAATATGAGAACTTTCAAAACATCACGAGTATCTATCAATTACAAATTGTACGAGAAGATCGTGCGATGCTTTGTTTATAATACACTAAACAAAATTACTCTACAGAGTACAATATGGGATTTAATTTTACTCCTCTTGTCCAATCAGAAGCAAGTAATTTACAGAGTACAATATGGGATTTAATTTTACTCCTCTTTTCCAATCAGAAGCAAGTAATTTTGTTGAGTGTATCATAAATATGCTAATCTTGCAAGTGAAATGCAGACTGAATGATTACCGGTTAAGGAAGAAAGTATGGGGTCTTCTGTAGGCGAAACCAGCTCGTCTGACCCTCACATTCTCCATCAGACCAAGATATTTGACTTGATGCCGAACCAACTGCTCGTCAAAATTGCCTGAGAAAATAATCACAATAATGGAATGGTTCAAAATAAAATAAAATAAAATAAAAAAGAGAATGCAAAATTCTTATCTTTTATTTTTTGCAAAAGTAACCCTCCTTAATCGCAACTGTGTTTATCAATGAGTTTACAGGTGAACATTTAAAAGTGGCGAGATCATTAGATCTTTTCTAGGCACTAAATATAGAGTTAAAATGCTCATTAGAACAACTAGAAAAGGCAAAAATATGATCCATAACTTATCCTTATTCAAACACAAATCCTTGTATGAAGGAACCTCTTTGCATAGAACAGAATCATCTTAGGTTTTGGGCCTACTTATCTTGCGAAAGATGTCACACTTAAAAGATCTTTTTCTAAACAAAGACCAATGGCTTAGGGAGAGGGAAAGAGAGGCAATATCCTCTCCTAAAAGTCAAGATGTTTGAGAAAAATCGAATGTCAAAACCCGGTTGTACCGATGACTTTTACTGTTGGAGGTCCCATGGATTTGACGGGACCTTTCGCGCCAAAATGGACGCGCGCGCGCTCGCCCCCAATTATCTATGAGACTATCGATGGGCACTGACTGAGACACGACAACTACTCACCGGATCGTTTACTGTCGTTGGGTTTAATGCATCTTACGTAAGAAGGTTGTTTGCTCATGAGGATTGACATCAGGTGATTCAAGCTTGTCTTGAACTGAGTACCAGCCTGCCAGAACAACAACGACTAAATGATATCCACATTGCTAATCTCCATAGATGCATTAAAAATATCAGCCGTAGCAGCTTTATTAATTCAGCGTCACGATCCGCAAACAACATCAGTTATCAGCAGTAACAACACTATTGTCAACAAGATCAAAATGTACAGACGATGAACAACGCTTTTGTTCAATCGATATTGAATTATCCTATAAGAATAACTGATCAGTGAAATATTAGCAAGGTTTACTAGGGAACATGCACAGTATTACTTACAGTGTCAGGTCTCTTTAAAGACTGCATTTCCTCTTGAGGAAACATCTCCGACGTAATGATGTTTGTGCTTTGACACATGGCCTAGTGGTAGATAGCGTTAGATATCGTTATTACGGCAATGTATATAAATCGTCTTTAAGTATTCAAATAGCCTCTTTCTTATTACCTCCTTCAAGTCTCTGTACAAGAGATCGTTGTTTTTGTCAACAAAACCTAAAAAAGGCAAATGAAACTGGATAAGCATCTAGAATCCCAAACTCAGAACCACAATCCAAGGTTAACACCGATTTTCCCCTCTTTCTTTGAAATTTAAAAACGCAAATTATGTACGAACTCTTTTTCGATTCTTTCACCTGGTGCAATCATGGATCATAAAATGATCCATGGCGCAATCAATCGCGAGGAAAATTACACATTATAAGAACTAACCGACCTCATATACATCTATATGAAATCGCTTTACATGGGCAAACCTTTTTACTGCGACCACCTTGCCCGACGCAAGGAGTGGTCGTTTACGACAGGTTTACGGGTTTATGATGACATACCAGTGACATTGTAGACCACATTGCCAGCGTAGTGCTTCAGTTTAAATTCCTGTAAGAAATATGTTTAAGTTGTGAAGACAGACGAAATGACTTTGTTGGCGTCTAGCATTTGTTGCAAAACAAGACATAGGTATTTTCGACTGTCATTATTACCACAGCCAGCCCAACCAGAATGGTGGTTTTGAACTTACGTTTCGTGCGATGGATTTTCGTTCAGCGTAGTCACCAGTAGCATGACTAGAATAAACGAAAAGCATACGAGTCAATATTAGATCCATATTCTAGCTTACTTTCCATGACATCGCGCAGATAAGTGTAAAAAACACTTGCAATGTACTCTTTTGTTTTATTATTTTTTTCAGGTTTTATTGCTGCTGCTGTGGTACGTCGTACTGCTGATTGGTTTTTTTTATAGTTGTTGTCGTTACTGCTGCTGTTGTTGTTGAATGTCGTACTAGTGACAGCTCTTGTTGTTGGTGGTGGTAATGGTGGTGCTGGTGTGGTTGTTGTTATTGTTATTGTTGGTGTGGTGGTGGTGTTGTTGTTGATGGTGTTGGTGTTGCTGGTGGTTGGTGGTGTTGTTGTTGATGGTGTTGGTGTTGCTGGTGGTTGGTGGTGTTGTTGGTGGTAATGGTGGTGGTGTTGTTGTTGTTGTTGTTGTTGTTGTTGTTATTGTTGCTGATGGTGCTGGTGCTGGTGTGGTTGTTGTTTTTGATGTCAGTGTTGCTGATTTTGATTCTGAGAATTTCTTAACGGCCTTACCACAAGAAATGTGGATGTCCACCAATAGCCGTTTCTAGTTTGGTTATGAACGTACTGTCAGACACTTGTCCTGGGCGAACACACTCCTCGTCCTAAGAAAAAAAGAAATCAGTATTCAAACTACCATCCAAAACCCTTATACTAATACTCACTTCATGGATTAAACTCATGCTCTCCGGTCTGCACCGATTTCAAGCGTTACACGACGCTCGAGATTTAAATTGTAAATAGGGAGAGTGGAATTACTCATGGAGAAGGTGTGGTGTTACATGTATAAAACCTCAGTTTCCAGCTTTTTTCTGTGCCAAGCTGGGACTTGCCGATGCATCAAGTATCTCTGATGAACCATTTTATTGGTAATAGACCACTTAGGCTTAGGCTGTAATATTTTGCTATTTCAGATCACGTGTCATTCCCTAGAGTGTCATTTCTCTATTTAACAGTTGTGCATGAGAAGACACAGGAATAGTGATACCACTCAAACAAAGAATCTTATTCTCAAGAGAAAGACACGTGGTCTGAAGTGGGAACATCTTACGCTTGGTCTAAAAAAAATTCTGGGGGGGGGGGGGTGTTACTATTTAAACCAATTCCGGCATGCAGTTCAAAATTCGTTTGCTGATGGGAAGAAAAGAGCGGGAAACTTTGAATTCCGACAAATGGTACACGCGTCTACCAGACGTACAGAAAAGAGCGCGAAAAGTAATTTACTTCAATTGAAAGGTCGAGTTTTTTGGAACTTTCCCATATGAATGACACATACTATTTGTTTTTCCAACCGGAATTTCCGGTTTTTCCGGGTACATGGCAAGCACCCCAGATAACCTATGTTAATGAAGACTTACCAACAATGAGATAATACCCTTGTGTTTCACTTCAATGAGGTCACAGATTATTTTGTTGTCAAAGTATTCCACTGGCTCCCACTGAAGGTACAAGAAAATTCTCACTTTAGTCATCGTTACCAGAACGTAAGGAACATGTAAAACCCCCATGAAGGACTGCTGGAACCGTACAACGAGATGTTGCTCGGTTCTAAAGCTACAGAGATTGGGGAAAAAGCTGAAGCAAGTGAGAGTGAACCGCTAACAAAACACTAAACAGTCTATATACTATACTATTTAAATTGGTGCGAAACCCGCTTTGGGATTTTGACAACTGGTTGCTTAATTAAGGTTGGTTGGTTATTAATAGGAGTTAATACCCGCTGTTTACCTCGATTCCTTCATTCTTGTACTCTTCTTGCTCCTCTCGTAGTGTCAGTTCAATAAACAGTTGCTGGAGTTTCTCATTGCAGTAGTTGATGCAAAACTGTTCGAAACTGAAGTTTAAAACACGTTACATCAGCAACCAGGGCCAAACATAACTGAACGGTTCTTATATAAGTGTATTTTTACAAACTTCATCAATGCGCTTTAAAAACTTCATAATTATTGTCACTGGAGGAGTTAACGAAATACATATTGAGAAGCATATTACAGCCATGAAGTAGGCTGTTTAATAATCAAGATACAATCTTCAAATCGCCAGCATTCGAATAGTTGAACAGTATCTTAGCTTTAACGTCCCCCCCCCGGGCTTTAACGTCCCGTGTACAGGTTGTTAGTCAGGGATTAACGTGGTTATGAGAGAACACTTCAAGGTTCAATTACCCGTTTGTAGATTCGTGTAATTTCAAATCCAGTACTACAAGCTATTTTAAGACCCTGAATAATGGTCCTGCATGCCCGGGGGGGGGGGGGG